CAAGGACTAGCGGTGAGCGCGATTAATGCCTGCCGAGCCGCGGCACCCTGGAGGAAGGAACGGCGATCTCTCTTTTATCTTCCTAGTGATATAACGTTACCGTTAACGAGCGCTCCTTGCGGGGTGGACGCGTGTATACAATGTATGAACGGATGAGATGGTGATTAGGAAGGCCGGTTGCCCCGTCTACTCGGATTTCGATCGAGACGCGATTACGCCACGGTGGCACTGATCTCTACACTAATTGAAGACCCATTTCCTATTTCCTCTACAGATAGAGATGATAAGAAATTAACTGAAGCGCAACAGCGAGGCTCCACGTGGACGCCAATTTAAAACATACTTAAAAATATCATTTTTGTGATACTTAAAAATATTATATTTGCAAAAATTGCCAATCAGCCGCGGTCATAAGAGAGCGTGTCTTCCGTTGACATGGCTGTCCCTATTAAAAATCGATTCGAAAGGTCCTGTAGAATTTTTTTTCTTTCTACGACACATAGTTTACCTGTAATAATTATTTGGAAAAATTGCCAATTAACCGCGTCGATTAGCGGGACGCGGACATAAGAGAGCACGCCATAAGTCGTCATTCTCCTACGCCGGAGACAGGAGGGAGCGGCTGATACGCCTTCGTCTAATGGACGTGCCTGATTGGCCATTTTACAATTAATTATTTCAAGTAAACCATGGAAAAAATGTGCAGGATCTTTCGACTTGTTCGATAAGAATAGCAACGTGTAAACCGTGGGCAGGAATACTGTTGCATACTGTCTATTCCTACGTTAAATGACGTCTCTAATTGTCACGTCATTTTATGGAATAGCAATTATCTAGTTAGAATACAGATCGGTACTTGGTGGCAAGGCATTGCCGCTCTGACGCATGCGCTGACGCTACAACATTGTAGCAACCGAAATTGTAACTATCGCAGCGATGACGTCACGTGCGGTTTTTGCGTCTTTGAGAAGCCTCGAGATCTTCTTTGTTGCTGCTCGTGTCAAGCGATTTGCAGATTATCTACGTCTAGACAAAGGGCTTTGTCCGGCACGACTTTTCGGGAATCAGTCGAGCAGCGATCAGCGACCGATACGTGTCGCTTGTAATGGATATTTAGAGATGACCTTCTAATCCAACAAGGCATTTCCGCGATATCGTTTCATGGCCCCGCAATCCGAGATATAGTTGCATTTAATCGTATTAAAGCCAAAAATGCAAGCTGGATGCATTTGGACACTCCTTGAAGATCTTCCACCGCTTCTTTCCAGGTTAGACACGCATCTTCAACGTAAAAACAGATATTAATTAGATCGGTTGCAAGGAGTCGCGGTATCGGATACCACGTACGCATGTGCAAACAGAAGCTGCAGGAGAGACATATACGTATATATATATATTTTACGTTTAGCGTTGATAGGTACCTTTTATGTATTTAATTACCCATAAAAGGTACGTTTCAACGCCGAATGTGAAGTATGAATACGGACCACGGATGCTTATGTCAAATCCCATTTCCGCTTTCGACGCATGCGCTGCAACATTAGTTTACCGGATCGCAACTCGAGGCGCTGTAGTCGCATGTAATCGTCCCGCCATTTCGTGGGAAAGCAGTCTTCCAGTTGGAATACAAAGTACACATGAACCTCCACATGTGGCGATGCTTACTCAGTGTCACAGGAGTTTTCCCGACAGGACGAAAGGCCAAAAATTCCAGCAGGATCGAATCGAGTGCAACTTTCGGAGGAACCTTGAGGATCTTTCACCTCTTCCTTGTGGATTAGAAGTGTGTATACAAGGTAAAAACAGATGTTGACCATGGAGATGACGATTGGGCCACCAGTTGTCCCGTCCGTTCGCAGTACCGAGTAAGTAACGAATGCGCATGCGCAAACAGCATCTGCTGAAGTAACGTATATATTTGACGTTTATAGTTAATATGTATCTTTTATCTATTTACTTACAGGTAAAAGATATGTTTTAGCCCAGAACGTGAAATATGAATATTCATTGCAAATACCAATGTCAAATGCCTTTCCTAATTTCGACGCATGCGCTGACGCTACGATGGCAGTTCACTTGTTCGTCACTCGAGGCACTGTAGTCGCCTATAATCGTCCCGCTATTTCGTGGGGGATCAGTTTTCCAGTCGGAATACGGATCAGGGCACTTGTGGCAATGCTCACTCAGTGTTACACGACTTTTCGCGCCAGGACGAAAGGCCAGGAATTCCAGCTGGACCCGTTCGAGTGCAACTTCCGGAACAACCTTGAGGATCTTTCGGCTCTTCCTTGTGCCACAGAAGCGGGTATACAAGGTAAAAACAGTTTATGATAATGGAGATGGCGATTAGGAGACCAGTTGTCCCGTCCCCTCGCAGTACCGAGTAAGTGATACGTGCTCAGGCGCGTAACAGAAGCTGCCGAAGTAACATGTATATATTTTACGTTTCACGTTAATATGTATCTTTTATCTGCTTAGTTACGCATAAAAGATATGTTTTAGCGCTAAACGTGAAGTATGAATTTCCTGCCCTCGACGCATGCGCTGCCGCTATGATGTTAGTTCATTTGTTCGCCACTCGAGGCGTTGTTGACGCCTCTAATCATCCCGCCATTTGATGGGGTATCAGTTTTCCAGTCAGATTACGGAACGGCGTATTTTCGACAATGGTTATTCGGTGTAATCTCTCCAGGGCAATCTTGAGGATCATTCACAGCTTCCTTTCAGGTTAGACCGGCGTCTTTAATATAAAAATGGACGTTGAGTAGGAGACCAGTCGCATCGTCCGCCCGGAGCCGCAGAATTCAGTAACACGTGCGCATGTGCAAACGGAAGCTACAGGAATAACATACGTATCTTACGTTTCACGTTAATATGTATCTTTTATCTATTAAGTTGGGCATAAAAGATATGTTTTAGCGCCGAACGTGAAGTACGAATATCACTCCAGCTTTCGACGCAGGCGTTGACGCTACGACGTCAGTTCACTTGTTCGCCACTGGAGGCGCCGTGGTCGCCTCGAATCGCCCTGGCATTTCGCGGGGTGCAGCCTTCCGTCGGGTTATGGATCGGTGTACTTGTGGCAACGGTTATTCGGTGTTACCGGAGACCTCGCGACAGGACGAAAGGCCAAGAATGCGATGCTGGAAGCGTTCGGGTGCAACCTCTCCGGGGCAACCTTGGAGACCTCTCGCCGCGGCGCTGGGCGCGGTAGGCGCCGGTAACGATAACCATAAATCACGATCCGCGTCATTAAGGCCGTTGCTCTCGATCGCTGCCGATCGAGACCTCTACCGGGCCCGGCTTCGAGAGCCCATCGGGCGTATATAGAGTTATCTATCTTGGCCCGTCGCGGTGGGCGATCGTACCGGCCAAGTGGTAAAACCATCCCCGGGGAACCGGTCGCCGGTAGCCGGGTTCGGGATATATCTGGGCGCAGCTCCGGTCGCGCGGACCAGTCTCCTCGGGGTAATAAGGGGACAGCGGCTTTATCACCCGGGGGCAGACCGCGAGACCGCCGGTTTACCTTTTATCGCGTTAATTTCAGCCTCGCTGACGCGTCCGGGTTTTTTCCTTTTGTTTTTTTCTCCCCCCCCAGAGCGACTTTTTCGACGCCGACACGCACGGCTCGCGGCCTCTCGCGACCTCCTTCGCCGTCGGGAATCGGCGGGATCGAACGATCCTCGGTTTTACCCCCGAAAGACAATTGGTTAGTCTTTTAGACGGCGTAAAATGGGCTGGAAGAGTTTCACTTCGTCGTGGACGTGGGATGCATGGAAGTCGCGCGAATCTGACTATGGAGAAGACGGAATGGAGAGAGAGAAGACGAAGTGGTTTCTTTCGCTCTGTTTTTGGATTTTTTTTCTTTTTTTTTTTTTAAGGGAATTGTTGAGCACGGCAGGATAGTTGTATCCTTCATAGAGAGATAGAGGAAATAGGTACGGTAGACTCACGTATGACGCGAGTTATCACAATGGGAATTCCTGCAATGCGAGAAATATATTGCGACCACTGTTATCGTGTGACGCGATTTTTCTGACAACGCGTTAAATGAAACGCATTACGCACGTTATACCAGATAAATTTCCCGTACAGCGTGATTTCTTACGACGCGAGTTCATATTTCAATATAACGCGCCGAATATATTGCGACTACTGTTATTATATTACGTGATTTCTCGGACAACGCGCCAGATATGAAAATTCATTATAACCGTTATATGAGAAGAATTCCCTCCCAGCATGACTTCCTATGACGGGAATTCATATTTTTGTATAACGCGAGTTTCGATAGCGGGCCAAATATATTGTGACTATTGTTTTCGTACAACGCGATTCTTCGGACAACGCGCGAAATACAAAAGCACATTGTGCACGTTACACGGGAAGAACTCCCGTACAGCACGTTTTTTTCCATAAAACGTATTAACCGCGTTATACGGGAGTCTACTGTACATCAATTGCTCCATTTTTTTTTTCTGCAGATGCAGGTCTATGAACGCAGAATGTACGGATCTCTCGTCCTATTGTTTTCGAAAAAGAATGAGAGGGAAATACATCAATTCAAGCTGCTTTTTTCTTTCTATTTCTTTCTCTTTTCACACGAGATGGTTGAGCGTATTAATTCCAGCGAATGATAAAGGAATAGCCTCTTCGTTCACTCTCATTCCTTTTCGCAGCCTTCATATAAGACATATCCAGGGAACGGTTAGATTTGTCGAGTCGTAAATAAAACAGGGAAGACCTTGCCGATTATTCGACGTAGAATGTCCTCGAAGCGTTTGTTTTGATTCCCCGTAGGAATTCGAGAGCGTTAGGGGACCAAGTACGCAGCGGTTTGAAAAACAAAAACGAGTCGGGCAAGAAGAGGCCGCGCGTGGAAATCGGCAGTTCGGAGTTTTCAAACGTAGGCTGCGCGCGCACGCGGGCCGCGGAGTGGGGATGGGTCCTCGCGCTCCCCTCTCGCGCCGCCGGGCCAGAGACGTTCCAGCCGGCGCGGCGGTAGGACGCCGGCACCCCTGCCTCGTCCTCGCGGGAATTGATGGCGACGCTGCTCATCCACCTACGACGCCACGCGTCCTTTCCCGAGACGCCACGCACCCATCTGCGACGCCGCCGACCTTCGACGCGTGCACCGGTCCTGGAGGGATCGCGTCACCTGCGACTCGGCCGACTTCCAACAAGATGGCCGTCATCCTCGCCCTAGACATGAACCTGCTTAGTACACACACTCACACACACACATACACGAATATTTATAGGTATCTTAATTTAAAGTCACATTATAACCCTGAGACTTGTCAATTTAAGGTTAGGTTCCAACGGTATTAATTAAAGGGTATATATAACCCGGGGACTTGTTAATTTGAGGTTACACTGTTAAGTTCAAAGTTAATAATTTAAGGTTAGGGTCGTAACGTGGGGCGGGGAGTTTTTTCCGAAACGGGGAGAACGTTCTGGAAAATCGGGTGGACGAGGGGGGGTAAAGGGGGAGACAGTACCCGGGGCGTCCGCGAAATCGGTAATTCCGCGGCGAGGCCGGGCCCTTAACGATTTTGCGGAAGGTTTACGACGTCGCCCGGCGTTATTACAATGCCGGGCCCGTTTCACGTATCGCCCTGGGAGACACCGGGCACTCAACGAGGAATACGCCATTACGTCATTAACGCGTCCAATAAACTCCTTTTACTACTTCCTCGAGCGGTCCCGCGTCTCCCCCTTCCCCGCCGGTCCGCCGCGATCGTCCCCGAGGTCCTTCGAGAAGGAGAGTAAGGGAAGAAGACGTCGTTTACTGCTTCCTCGAACAGCCTCCGAGGCTTTATACGTCTCTCGGCGCCGCCATGCAAAGTGGGCCCGAGGATCCGCCAAAAGCGCCCTCCGAACTCTTACTCCGTAATGCGCCTTGATTACAAGGGTCGAGTATTTAGGGGTGTTAACGCGGCCCGTAAACTCTACCGTCGTTTGTGCTTTTAAATGTTGTCTCGTCTACGGGATGGACCAAACGATTCCCCGGGGACCGTGGATCTTGGAAAAGAAGAAAAGGGTTGAACGGTGTCGCTGCTTGGGCGGAGGGGGAGAACCGAACGTCCGCCATATTGCGTTGCTACGCTCTCGAGTGATCATTGGAGAGGACGCACGCCTGATGTTAAACTAATGTTTTTCTTTAATAGAATTAAATACATGAACGGAAGACACAGGTTTTCCTTAACCTTTGGCGGCGTTAATCACACGGACGTCACGATCCTCTCCCTAAGCCGTTATGAAAATAATTTTGAAGTACACAGTAACGGTTGTTCTCACTTGCAATTTTTATATCCTTCGATGCAACGTATAATACTTGTAATTACGCGATCTATGTATGCGATTTATCGTATTTGGCCTTAAAAAAAGAAAAAAGAAAAATTGGTTGACTGAGAGGAACGTGCATTGCGGCAACAGAAACCTGCGTTTAAGTACGGCCAAAGAAATGCCAGATTGAGTAAGCAATGTTTGTTTAAATCAACAACGGGATAATGGTTTCTTCCAATCGTGTATGATTCATATACCACTGTATGTATTTGTTTCAGTTAACTAATCTTTTTTCCCAGTGTATCTTTGTTTACGAGATGGTCATGGTAATAGGATTGCGCGGGGGTGCAATGTAACGCAAGATGGCAGATGAAGTACTCTCTCGCGTCTCGAGGTTCAGCCCCAGGTCTGAAATCTCAGTTTATGATTTTTTTATATTCATGCCGACGGAATCTTTTCATCCTCATTGGCAGGGCGAGTCCGACCCGATGAACTATCCGTGATTTCTTTTCTTTTTTTTTTATATATGTATTTATAATTTTTCGGGAAAGCAGCGAACGACGGAACGTCGCGACATTAGCAGTCGAGGCCGCGGCTAGTCGGGCCTCCCCCTCTATGCGTGAAATGGCGCCTCTTTCCGCGTTCCTTTTTTTGTTTTTTTCTTCTTCTCTGATATTTTTTTTTTTTTTCTTTCTTTTCCCGTAGTGGCGGCAGTTGGTTCAACCACCTTGAGGGAACGGTCACGCAGCGCGTCTCGGTCCAGACAGTCGCGGTCTTCTCGCGTGCTATTGACCCTTTTTCACCACAGGTGAGTCGGGAGGGGCTTTCGACAGGTAGATACACCTAACCTGTACGCGCGCACGCACGACGACGCTCCTCCCGTGCCTACTCGCCCGCTCGCCTGCGTGCGTGCGTGCGCGCCTTCGTGCGTGCCCGCCGCGTGCGTGTAACGGGTGTTTCACCTCGAAATTCGTCCCCGGGGCCTTTATCTCGAAAAGTCCGGATTTTTACGAGAGGGGAAACAAAAACCGCCGGCTTGGACGTTCCTCGACGCCAGGGGGGAGAGGGCGGACCTCGGTGGATTTTTCGCGACGCTCGAAATGGCGCCCTTTCGAAATCCCAGAGAGAGAGGGTCGCTCGTCTTGGCGTAATTTCATAAGTATTCTCGAAATCCTCGAAATCGGTATTAGGTTAATTACCCCCGATTGTGGGATCCATTCACCCCGAAATGTGGAATTCTTATTTCGGGGGTTTGTCTTGGACGTGGAACGGGTCGTGGGTGTTGGGTAATTAGAGTTTCTTTTTCTTTTTTTTTTTAATTTTTTTTTCTCTTCATTCCTAGGGTGAATGGACACCCGGTAGAGTTCCAGAGATGGCGAGCGGATATACAGCGGCAAGAGCGAGCATAAGGTGCACTAACCACCGTACATGCCCTTGCAAGGCACTCGTGTTACGACACGCGCATACACGCCCACGCACGGTGTTACGTCTCGCTATCGTTACGGCCATTAAATACATTGTACCCGCTCGGCCGTGCCTCGCAGTGGATTCCACCGTTGTTTATTAACAGGGGCGGTGCACAAACCACGCAGGACGGCGTCGCCTTCGACGGTCCTCCGCGTGGCGAAACCTGGGGGCGCGAGGAAACAATCGCCAGGACCCTTCCGGGTGGGCGAGGAGTCTTTCCTCCGGTGCGCCTCGAGTCACGAAGAGAGACCCTGAATAATGCATCCCCCTGGTAGGGATTCTTACTTTTAACCGATGAAACTATTCAACTAGTTCGACGGGACATCTTGATAAGGAAATGTATTTTCAGGAAACCTACCTTGCAGGTGAACGAGGTGCCTCGTTCTCCGATCCTAGAACCTGGGGAGAAACCCTCCCCAGTAGGGCACCTCTCGGTACGAACAATTAATTCTAACCGGTAAAGTTAATCAATCCAAGGGGAATTTATTGATAAGGAAGTGTATTTTTGTTTTAGAATCCTGGGAGGGCACGGGGGCACATCGAAATTAAGTGCGTCTGTTTCCAATGGCGAACCTGATGAGAGTTCCTTAGCGGTGCGTCTCTTCGGTAGGAATCTTTTTTTCTAATTCTAATTCTAATAGTTTGATTGGATTAGTTTAAGGAACGTTTATTGATAAGAATGTGTATTTTTAGGGAGCCGTGCGGTACACGTGTAGGGGCATCAGGTCGCAGGTTACGTTGGACCGGTGCACCGGGACGAAGTGCCTCGATGGAGTTCTTCTTTTCTCCTCCTGGAGGAGGCACCCCGGGCTCTTTCAGCACGTCGCACCTCGAGAGGGACATTATGAAATTGAAGCCAACGTTAGGGACAGGTGAGCCAGGATATCGGCAGGATAAGGATAAGCGTGTGCATCGGCGCATTGTCTCGGGGTGATTGCACCGGTAGATGGATTGCGTTTGCGGATGCGCCGGACGCCTCGCACCGGCGAGAGCCGGCTTGATCGATGACGGCCTCTTCGGCAAATATCATAATTATACACCCGGGGCCTCGGTACCTGTACCATCACCTGTTACCCTCGGTCCCTGAAGGGAGGAGGTCGGCTCATGGGAATTATTCGCGGAATTCAATTGGCCGTTTTCTAGAGGCGATTATCCGCTACGCGGATTCTTCCCGCGAAAGTCGTCCTTTCTTTAAAAGATATATCCTCGTCCGGGGGTGATCGGCGATTTCGGGACGCTTTGTGGGAAATCTCTCGTGGGGATCGTTGACCCATCGTCGTCGCGGTTGCGGGCCCTCGGCCTCACCCACGCCGAATTCCGGGACTCCTTCGACGCCTCCGCGCCGAGTGGAGGTCCCGGGAGGCGCGGAAAACCAATATTTGCTCGCGACTCGATGGTCTCGTTTGACAATCGTTTCTATCAACACTACAGAGTGACAGTACGCCGGACACCTGTGGGAGGAGATGGACGGATCGGCCGATCGAGAGGTCGCCGATGGACACCCGACGAGGATCACCGGAAGTGCCGGGGAAGAAATACTCTCAAGGCGCCGAGAGTCGCAGTTTTCTTCCCGACGCCGATGTCGACGTCGACGTCTTCGAGCGCCGCGGAGAAAGAAAGAAAGAAAAAGAAAAAAGTTAAGTCTCTTCGGGGCGTTTCCCCCGCGTCGGGAAAAATGCAATGTCGGGTCGCGCGGAACGCCTGTTTACCCGGGAACCTGTACTTTTCTTTAAGCATCTAATTAATACCTCCGACTGCTAACTTCATTCCCCGTTAATTATACCCCGTGTCTAGACTGCGAAATGTTGGCCGGCAAATTGACGCGCGTTACATGGCAAGATCGCCGCCGCCATGTTGACTTTTCCTCGGTGCCGGTAGCGTCGAATTAGCGGCGCACACCGGCTAATGGGCACCCATGGGTGGGACCATGGGGCCCAAGTGCGAGATGTCCTGGACGAGGGGAAGCAAGTCGGCCTGTCGAGCCGCAAATCGACGATATACCCCTGAAATAGTTGGAGAGCAAAATCGGTCTTGGTGTCATAGGCTTCGTCTTGCAAACGTGGTCCAATCTAGGTGTTAGCCCCTTCGTACTTTAATGTTGTACTTTATTCTTGTATTTTTTTTGCAAAACCGAGGCCAATACAGACCGATGCCGAATTTGCTCATTATTAGGTATTCTGAAAGCGGTCCGACGATTTTGGGGGGGACTTTTTCTCCGATTTAGAAAGGCGCGCGGGTTTCTCTCGGCCGATCGAATTCGGGGCCCATTAGGCCCGTTAATCCCGGAGTTATCAGGCCCGAAAAGTCGGCGCGGAGCCCTCGGTCACTTTCGCTGCCCAGTCCCCAGCTGGTATACCGGCATCCTTTCACATTCCCTCGGCGAAGATCCGATCGGTGATTATCGACAGATAGAGAAAGCGCCGCCTCTTTCTTCGGAGGACAGAAGCCGGGGGCCCCTCTTTCTCGGGGCCCCATTGACGGGACACCGTCGTGGTCCCGGTCGGCAATCGGAGGGCCCTATCGGGGCCCTTACGACGGGCTCCGCGATTTATCGCCCCTAGGACGCCCCGATTAAAATAATTGAACAATCGGCCGCGGCCTTATCGCGCAAACGTCCGGACCTCGCGATAAGGCCCGGTCGGGGCCCGCTCTAGGGGCCCCCGAAGGAACGCGGACTTTCGCACTTGTCCATTTATTCCCCAATCCGTGGCTCTGGCCCGTCCGGAACATTAACAACATTCCGTTGGCCCGTCCTTCCCCTTCCTACCCAGAAGCTATAATTATTTCTGCGAAATGTATCGAATGCTTATCTCGAACGAGCGCCATTATGCACCTCCGGCGGCGCTGGGACCCACGGCTACCCTGGCCCCCCCCCCCGGGCCCCGCAGAATCCCCGGGAACTTATCGCCACTGTCGATCGGGAGCGATTGTGAATTAATTAACTAATACGCTCGGCTCCGGGGGAGATAGATAAGGCCCCGACGAGAGACCGCCTTCTGGTTTCGGGCCCAGGGCCCGATGTCCGATTGAGCTGTCACGCCGATCCCCGTTATCGCGGTACCTTATCGATTTATTATTATTCGAGTTTGTGCACGCGTGTCCCCGCCGTCGACGCGCCGATTGTCCCGCCGTCGACGCGGATCGGCCCGCTGTCAATGCGAATTGCCTCGCTGTCAGTGCCAATCGCTTCGCAGTCATTCATGTCACTTGCTGGAGCTCTCATATGCCGGTGAGGAACGAAATCGGTCTTGGACTTAGGCACAGTCTTGGTCGAGGGGTTACTCACTTGGAAATCAATGAAAACGATTTCCTTCCTCGAGAGCCGATTACCTTTGATTTCATATTATAAACAACAATGCGATTCGGTAACAAGGACTCTTTACATATATTATTTGCAAGATCAAGAACAAGTCCCGATCACATTTGCAAGACCACGACCAAGAGCGATCCTCCTCATCGCACCAGGACCGCGACTCTCCTATCGAGAAATCATTCCCAGACTCACGATCGCCACTCTCGGATCTATCGAATAATGATTCCTCTCTCACCAAATACCCATTAAATCGATTACTCGACTAAGGTCTGCGCTAACGAGCCATTATCGTTACTTTTAATCGAGCCTAAGACGACTTTCGCCGCGAAACATAGCGTGCAGGTCTCGTATCGTCGCGTTGTCAGCCATCCTCTGATCCCCGGGGGGGGGGGGGGGGGAAGTCATCGATCAAGGATCGCGGTGTAATGGCTAATTAAAAATCCCATCGGCAGGACTGACGGATATCTCCCGAGTCGGTCCCCCCTTCTCCCCATTTCTTTCGGTGTTTGATCTCTGACCGGTGAGGCCCGACTCCACTGTTTCCACGCTCCCAAGTCTGACCGGGCCGATGATCGTTTCTCATCGAGTCGTTTGGTTACATCGGCTTCGGGCCCATAATGGACGTGTAATACATTCCGGGTCCATCGGGAGGCCCCATCGGAATGGGACTGGCGATGGGACTCCCGAAATCAGAGGGGGGTGCCGCTCGCGTGGGAGTGGACAGGTTTACTCTTTTTTTTTTCTCCGTTCATTCTTCATATATATATTTTTTTTTCCCATCGGGCCCAGAATTTCATCCTAGGTCAAGAGGGGGGAGGACCGAATCGTGGGACCCGAAGACACGAGTCTCGACGTTCCTGGTCAAAGGTGTTCCGTCAATGCGCGCATACCGTCGACCTCTCTCGAGGGAGAGGGGGCGACGCCCCCCCGCGAGTCTCGGGGGCCCCGGGAATGGGCCCCGTATATTTTCGAGATCTCGAAAAGGGATCTCTCTCGCGGAGGTACTTCTTCCTCGGGGTCGTCGACTCGGGGACCGTGGGTACCCTGGCTAACCCGGGGCGCGACCCGACACCCCCGTCGGGGGTCCCGGGGGACCCCTCGTGGCCGTGGTTAATCCCGGCCCGGTCCTAATTTCCAGGGCGGGGGGAAGTGCCGACGAGGGGCCCCATTCTACTCGGTACGCCGCCGCATAAAGATCATCCGGGATAAGTTCTTCCTCGACGCGGTCTCGACGGGGTCATCGTGGTCCCGCGCGCGAGGGCCTTCCGACGTTTCCCGGTGATATACCGAGATTCACGACGCCGGCGTCGTCGTAGGCGTTCCTGGCGGCGTTAATGTCCCGAAATAAAGAAAGAAGACACACCGGGCCCCGCCGCCATCTTTCTTCCAGCGCGGGATCCTCGCCGCTGTGGACGCCGTATCCCGGTGATTCATTGTCACGGGGCTCGTCAGCGGAGCTTCTTTTTCGGGACTCCTCGCCTCGGAGGGGAGGTGTCCCGTTGCGCACTAGCTCTTTATGCATCGAATCCCCTCTCGGAAGTGGGACTGCCTTTCCTGGACCCCGAGGGTCAAGTCCTGACGGGAACTTCTCCTCGGGAGCGCATCTTCTCCTGGGGTGACACCCTCCATCTTCTGGCGAGCCTTTGACTTATTCAAAATCATTGTATTCAACCGGACCCGGAGATGCCCTCGCGTCAACGATTCGCGCTAATGTATTGTAATAGATTCCCGGGACTCTATTGTAGTCTGGCAGTTTTTACAGGGGGCCCTATAGAGCGTGGACGAGGCCGATGGGTCGCCCCCCTCGGGGATGGTGTCCGGGGTGAGGCGATCGGCGATCCTTCGATCTCCTCTCTTCAACGTCCTCGGGGTTGACGACCCTCGAAAGTAGGTCCTGGGAAGGAGACTAAGAGGTTGGGGGGAGATAGAAAACGCATTAGGAAAAATCGAACCGCGTCCGGCGAGAATGGCGCCGATTGGTCCTTCCTATCAGGTCCTCCTGTGGTGTTGCCCTATCCGCCGACCGACTAAGGGGGGCTCGGGTCGTTCGCGCGACTCCTTTTTCCAGTTAATTACGAGTTAATTAGAATGCCCCGGAGGTTAATGGCGGATATAACCCGCGGCTTAATTACGGTCTCACGGCCGGCCGGAGCCCTGACAACCTGTTGCTCTCGGAGAGTCCCCTGTGTCACCGGACCCCGGGCTACCCCCTTCGGAGACCTCGACTTCCTGCGACCGGGACTATACCTGTACCTGTACCCTGGTCTTCGTATGTGTGCGAGGCACGTGATACGCGTAGGGAAGGAAAAGGGTGGTATATCAGAAGTTAATGTTGATGTTGTTACCGTTGTCTCTCAATGGGTCTAACTGAATCCGATGGAAGGTTCGGGTCCTGGACTCCATCAGCTGATCTCAGGCGATGTTGTTCCTGTCGTCCCTCTCTGGGTCAAATTGAATCCGATGGATTCAGGTCTCCAGGACCCCGTCAGCTGATTCCCGGTGGGGCCGTTACCGCGATCCTAGGGTGAATTGGAGGGGATTAGAAGGGATAGGTGGGTCCAGGAGTCCGTCAGTCGGTATCAGCCTGGGACAGTCACTGTCATCCCCTGGTGGGTCGGGGCGGGTCCACGTGGAGAGAATCCACGTCCAGGAGCCGCGGGCTCCCGGCATAACGCGCTAGCTGCCTCGCCGGGCGATGGCTATTAATTCGTCGAAGGACAATGGAGATATCATTTCCTCGGGCGGGCAATAATTTATTAGCGTCCTACGTATAATAACGCGGGCGAGTGGCCGCTCGCGCGAGAGCCCTATCTTGCCGGGACGCCCACGCGTTCGGCTACCACTTCCTCGGGCCTCGGCGGCCTGTCAGCCGCAATTGTCATTTATCCTGGGCGATTTACGGGGCCGTTTACCGGCCGCGCGCGGCGATACCGCACGGGAAGTTTGGCCCGATTCATCAACGACTATCGGCCGTATATCCCGGGGAGAGACAGCCAATGCCGGGCCCCGGCATATAACGGGGCGTTCCCGGGTATCTCGACCGGGACCGGCCGCTCCCGGCTTCTTCAGGGTCCTCGAGGGGAAGGGTCGTTCGGTCCCGATTCCTTATACATCGAGGGCAGCTGATTGAAAATCCAGGGGACGCCAGTCGCGACCCTGGTCGGCCCTGGATCGATCCCCAGGCTCTGGGCCCTGAAGGAGCGGTACCAGTGGTACCACCTTGAGGATCTCTCCTGGGAACCGGAGGGGACCCTCCGAGATGGATCAGCCCCTCTAGTTGGGAGTCTTCTTGCCCGATGTAACGCGAGGATAATTATTCCGGATAATGGGACCGGAGGAACGGAGGGCACCAGGGGACCTCTCCGGGGATGATTATACCCGGTCGCGAGGTGCACTTACCCGGGAGGAGGTGCATTCCGGGAAGTGC